CGGGTGTGGGATCCGGGTGTGTACCAATCATGATCCAATTTAAAATAATCTAAATTATATAATGTTTTTTTTATTATTTGTGTCTAATTAAAAAATATATTTATTGCACCTACCAATATTTTGTTTGGAAAATTTGGAAAGTAAATTTTAATTATTTTTAACAATAATGTCTTGTAAAATATTTTAATTGAATGGTTAATAAAATTAAAATTAATTTCTATTTTTCATATATATTAATGATAAAAATATATGATATATATACTTTTAATGTGTACTCTTAGAACATATGTTAGAAAATTCATTTGTTAATTTATTTAGCTGTAATATATACACACATGTACAAGATAGTTGCATGCATGAATATTCCTCGGGCCTGGAAGTCACTTTCTACAAAAACAAAGGCTAGTGGTGGTGTCAGTCCAATTAGCATGCTTAACACAAACTCGAACCACCCCTTTTTAATTACTACATTCTATTACAAAAAAAAAAAGAAAAGAAAATCCTTGTTTTTACATTTCACCGACTGAAGTTAATTAGAAGAGCTAAAAAGCTGAACATAAAATCAATTTTGCTAAACGGGTTTTGAATGTTGTCAAAAAAAATGGTCACTCTATAGCAAGGGGTTTGTTTTATACTAGTTTTTTTTTTAATGAAATTGTGAACTTCATTCGTAAGAAGAACGGATTACAAGCACTAATCCCTTGTAATGTTCAATTTATTGCGCCGAGCAATGAGAAAATAATTTTCTATGAATTTCTTTTTTTTTTTTTTTGAGCAACAAAAAATAATAGTTATTAATAAACGGAATACAAAATATTAATTATTATATTTATCAGATATAGAGGGATTAGTGATTAATGAAAGAGGACTCTTCCATCCACTAGTGGTTATTTTACAATATGTTTAGGTAGAGATAATGGGGGAGAATGAAAAAAAAATTCTCTATTTGATTATTTGATTATAAAAAAATTGAAAGGAAGTGGAGGGAAGAAAGGAGTGGAGAAAATTTTCTTTCACTTTATTTTTTCTTTTAATTTGTAACTTATCTAAATGACTGGAAAGAAGGGATGGGGAAGGGAGGGGAGAAGCTCCATTCCCAAAATATAGGGAGAAGCTCCATTCCTTTCAACCCAAATATAGAGTTACAGTCTATTGTAATATAAACTATAAAATAATAAACTCTACATTAAAACTATAAATCATGATACTACTTAATTAACTAGTATAAAAGTCACAATTCGGTAGTATTTTTGTATTTATGGTCATTGTATCTTTGGATTAGTTTTTTCGTATCTCGAAACTAATATTTCCTTAAGTAATCTAAAGGCACACAATTTATATTGGTTTGGTACATCTAAAGAAATTAATATTTTTAAATATTGACTTAAAACTTAAATCTTAAATTTAACTTATAAGATAATATTTATTTATTAATAAATCCAATGAATTTTAAACTATTTGAGTAATGATATAGAGGATGAAAATTAAAATTAGGGATGCAAAGAGTCAAATATTAAATAGTATAAGTTTTACATTTTAATATTTTAAATAACATGATTTATTTTTTGTTATTATTCTCAAATTTTTATACCAAAATTTTCACCCTATTTATCATTATCCAAACTTTTTATATTCTTCTTTGAAATTGGTCTACAAAAGAGTACTAAACCTTTTCTAAAAAGGAAAAAAAAGAAGAAATTAAAGATGGCAGTGTTGTTATAGTATGTAGAAGAAGTATCAGTTTATCTACACATATTACCAATATTAATGGGCACTTTATCAATAAAAGGTTTCCGAGTTTATTATAAAAAAAGCAGCACTTTAAAACTTTCTTTGATCACAATATCATGCGCAAAAAACTCACAGCCGCTTTTGTATATAAAATGCCACAGAAAGCAAGCCAATAGAGAAGTAGAGAACCCTCTCACCTCAAAACATTACATGCTCCAACAATGGCAGCTGTCAACAGAGATGAATCAGACTACGACAGTAGCTCCTCCATAACGGTGCCGGACTCCAGCAGGAGTTGGATGAGCAACCTCAGCTTCGGCAGCCACCGCAGCTCTATCTCCCTCTGTTCCGCATCAGAAACCTCTTTTTATGGCTCTCAGCTCAAGCCACACAAAGCAAACCAGGCCGCTTGGGAAGCCATGAAGAGGCTCAGGAGAGTGAAAGGGCAAGTGGGGCTGGACCATTTCCGCCTTCTCCGTAGGCTGGGAAGTGGAGACTTGGGCAACGTTTACCTTTGCCAGATAAGGAACCCCGTGGTGGGGTTGCCGCAGTGCTTTTATGCCATGAAAGTGGTGGACAGAGAAGCACTTGCTATCAGGAAGAAGCTGCAAAGAGCCGACATGGAAAAAGAGATTTTGGGTATGCTTGATCATCCCTTTTTGCCAACTCTGTATGCAGAGTTTGAAGCTTCCCATTACTCTTGTTTGGTAATGGAGTATTGTCCCGGCGGCGACCTTTACGCTGTTCGGCAACGGCAACTGGGAAAACGCTTCAACATTTCTTCTGCTAAGTAAGTTTCTATATAATTAAACTTCACACATTCTATATGTTAAACACACATTTATATCAAACGTAGTTTATACAGAACTATAGTTTTCATTAATTTATTTGTTCTTTGTTAAAAACACAGGTTTTATGCTGCAGAGATTCTAATGGCGTTAGAATATCTGCACATGATGGGCATTGTTTACAGAGATCTAAAGCCAGAGAATGTTCTGGTGAGAGAAGACGGCCACATCATGCTCTCTGATTTTGATCTTTCCTTCAAGTGCGATGTTGTTCCGGAGCTACAGAGGTCTAAACCCAGTTCGGAAGATATAGACAACAAGTTTGAGAAATATTGTTTGACTCCTTCCTGTGCTACACCAATGCACCCTGTTCTTTCATGCTTCTCGTCGAACAAAAAGAGGGTGTCTACTACCACAATAACAGAGCACGTCGACGGTGGGGAAATTAATCCGGAAATGGTGGCGGAGCCGATTAATGCCCGGTCCAAGTCTTTTGTTGGGACCCACGAGTACTTGGCACCGGAGGTGATCTCCGGGCAAGGCCACGGTAGCGCTGTGGACTGGTGGACACTAGGGGTATTCCTATACGAAATGCTTTACGGGAAAACCCCTTTCAAAGGCGAGAACAACGAAAAAACACTAATCAACATCCTCAAACAGCCGCTCACTTTCCCCAGAATCAGATTTTCCAGCATGAAAGAGTTTGAAGAGACGGTCAAAGTCCAAGATCTCATCAGCAAGCTCCTAGTGAAGAATCCTAAGAAGAGAATTGGGAGTTTAAAAGGTTCTGTTGAAATCAAGAGGCACGAGTTCTTCAAAGGCGTGAACTGGGCTTTGATTCGATCGGTCCGGCCACCGGAGGTTCCCCGTGATATTTTCAAGATGAGGGACAGGAGAGTTTACTTGCAGAAGCTAAGCAAGGAGGAACGAGACGCGCCGTATCAAATTCCTCAGCATTTTGACTATTTCTGACCGTAAAAATGTAAATAGGATAGGTAAAACTACGTGGAAATGGTAGGAAAAAGTATGTAACACTAGAAAGATAGTTGTTTTTCCTAAACTTTCCTTTGAATTATTATTTTGTTGGTACATAGGATAACTGACCTATAAATTAAAATATAATATATATAGGTTCTACTATCCACCTATTATTAATTTTAGGTAGGAGGTTGCCAAGTTCACGTATTACAGGTGAGGTTGCCATAAGTTGATAATGTGTCCCCTTGGGGAAGTTGGTTGTGGCTGGTGATATCAAGTCACATGTAAGCGGAATGTCAAGTGAAATAGAACCATACATCTAGTAGTTAATAGATAACTTAAGTACTTAAAACCGAAGTATTAAATCTTCTGTTATTTCATTAAATTCTGTTATTTCATTAAAGTAACTTATTTTAAAAGTCAGAAAACATGCAAATATGCCTTCTTTAATAATTTCTATTAACAAATAATTCCCTAATAAAACTATAAAAGGAAATTCACCTTTAATATTGTACCCTCATTAATGTGGATACTTGGTTGGGAAATCATATGGTTTGCAACACTCTGAACACTTTGGGGAACTCGAAATGAAAGAATATTTAAGGATAGATCAATGGACATCAACAGAATCATTTGATTTGATCAAAATAAGATCTTTCCACTGGCTGAAAGATAGAGGCAAGGGTAATAATATGCTTCTCCATGAATGGATTTCGAATCCAAAGCTCTATCTTTAATTTTGATGCAAGGTAATGTGTCTTTTGCAAATTCCAAACTAGAAATTGCATATGAGAATGAGTACTATGAAGGGATATGTACAGGATAACTTAGTGCATTGCATATTGTATTACATATGTACTGAGATGGTTTGATATGTTAACAATGGCTTAGTGCATATGGGCATGAGTACTCTTTGTACTCAGTTTAGTAATAAATTTAATTTTGCCTTAAAAAAAATGTGGATATTTATTATTATTATTTTTTTATCTTGGGTTGCATAATGGAAGGCAACTCTCTTTTCTTTCTTATTTCACCCCACTTGTATTCCATGCAATTTGAACTCAAAACAATTTACTTGTCGTGAAAAGAGATTACTACTAAATTATTTAGGTCGTTAGCAATATATACTTGTCGTTAGCAATATATACTTGTCGTTAGCAATATATACTTTTCGTTACTCTTAACCTCAAATTACATATATTCCTTATTTCATTTGTTAAATCTTAATTATTTATGAGAAAACCATTATATTCAAAAAGAAAATAAAAGTACATCTTAATTACAAAATTGCCCTAATATGTTGCCTAATTATGCAATTGCCATTATAATTAACAATTTTTTAAGTAATTATGAAATTACAAGATTTTTATGAAATACATTTTCTAAGGCTTCCCCTTACTCCGAACCTATACCATGCTCTCTTTCAATTGTCCTAACTAAATTCCAATGAAATGAATCCAAAATGAACCCTTATAGTATATTTGATTTGAGGGAAATGGAGGGTACGGGAGGTGAATGGAAGGATGTCGTATTCTTCTATTTCTCTCACCTTCCCTCCTCCTCTCCCTTATTTGAATAACTGAGAAAATTAAAAGAAAAAAAAATAATATAAATCACTTCCCTTCCCTCTCCTCCCCTCCCCTCCCCTTTCCTCAAACCAAGCATAGTATTAGGGAATTTCACTTCTTCCATCCTAAAGCTTTGCATCATACTCCTTCAAAAGTAATAGACTATTATTTAAATATGACTACATCCTAACCACACCTAGTCCTTTTCCATCTCATTCCAAAGAAAAACATGAAAAAATTTTGTCCCAAGTTCCACACTAACAAATCTTCCTAATTCACCAATTCTATACAACAAATCTTGAAGAGCCACCAAATTAGCTATTTGCCTCACAAATACTTTCCTAATTAAGCATTATTGCCCTTCATTAATCTTCTCTTTCCTCTTCACCAACTTTCTCACCACACCTTCACCATCCTTTTCTCCTTTTTTTGTTAGGAAAATGATTGATACACACTTGATTCAACACACTTTTTGACGCTTGTTTGGATTCATTTATTAAAATATAATATAAATGCAATTGATTCAGCTAGTTTTTTGCATCTTGTATACATGACTACATCTTTAAATTTGTCTACCTTTAATTTCAGGCTAGAAAATAATGATTTTTTTTAATAAATATGTTATGTAGTGTCTTGAATCTGAGCATATATTAATAAGTGTCCTTTTTGTTAATCTTAACTTATGCCACAAAAAGCTCTAGTTCTTCTGTCATCTCCACCACAATGCACAACAATTACCATAGAGTCACTTAATAAACCACCAAAAACTCTCAACACTTACGATTCCTTTCCTAGACACAACACCTAGCATCTAATTGGAGACATACACTATTCAAAATTAGCATCGAGACCTTGCCACAAAAGCCTAGAAACATCAAAGAGAAAAGAATCTCTTGATTTTTGTTTCCTAAAAAATCCTAAAACAACACATGCACGGCAAATCCAAATGTGGGGTGTACTGCTTGCTTTTTTTGTAAAGCAAGAAAAGTGGATTTTTCCAACAATCCTCTCTTTCCACGCAAATGACCTCCATGCAGATGATTGGAAGAATGTTGGTTTAAAGTTGCAATTTGCACCTTCAAATATTTTGTAAGATAGAGTGATGCCTTCCTATAGAATGGGTTACTCATTTGTCTTAGATAGCTCTAAGAACTTAACCACTATTGTGAAATGCAAATCAAAGTAAACTTGCAAATGAAAAATGCATCCAAGTTAAACTAAGCATGTTCATTGTTAGATTAAACTATGATCTACAGATATAACTAGAAATTGTTATTATTCTATACAAGGACTTGTGCACTTTGATATTATTGAAAACAACCATTTCAAGGAATTGTGAGCAATACAATTATTGGGAGCATCATGAATTACATGACAATAATGAATGAGTCAAGATAAGATTCATCCCTCTTGAGTTAATGAGAGAAGGTATCTTTAGGCCCTTTGGTTGAGATGAGGCTACGTAAAGTTTGAGGCAATAACAATAATGAAAGAGTTCATTCATTGAGTTAGTTTATCTTGGGAATCAAAGCAAATACATCAAGCTTTAAGGATGATGACAAATAGCATATGTCTTATTTAATAGAGATATTGGTGACAAAGGGATTAAATTACACAAGTGTATTAGTTCTAGGAAGGTTCGTCAAAGCAATTGACATTTCTATCACTTTGGGTGGCCCTAACATGTTGTTAGATATCGCTCTTGGTCAGTGAGTGTTTCTCACTACTATCTTGATAGAAACCTAGAAGGGTCACACTTTTAATGTGTTATGGGATTGAGATTTCTATAAATTCAAGTTTATGGATATCAATTAATTTATGTAAAAATGTTATTTTCACAAGAGAAATAAATTAATCAAGTTCCAAATTTAAATTGGTAGAGAGAATTAATATAATTTAATTTAATTAATTCAAGTTCGGATTTACTAAAAGTTGAGGACAAGAAAATCTAAAAGTGACAATTAAGTTCTTAGAGGACTAATGGGTTGAATTCTACTACATGATGGATTATGGTTGGGTGGTACATAGGGTAAGGAAGCTCTAGCTTAATTCCTAGTCCATCATGGACAAGGATGTGCAGCAAAAAGGAGGGAAAAGTAGGGAAGGAAAGTCTTTTTCTTCTAAATTTTTTACTTTAACATGAAGACTAAATTTGACAATTCAAATACGGATGGGGGTTCATTATTTTCCAGCCAAATTGAAGCACCTATAGCATCTGCAACCTTGGCTCCTTTGGATGGGATACATTATTTCCCTGCCAAGACCAGGGATCAAGGCCCATTTAGGGCTCTTAGTAGATGTAATTTACCTTTTCCCCCATTAGGGTAATGTTTAAAAATAAAAAATGGAAAACTTTAAGGGTAGTTGATATGACCCATTGATAGTTTGAACCCAAATAATGTTGGAAAAATTTTAACCTGCATTTTGACAATTGTTTAGAACACTTTTTCCCCACATATACCAATCCAAAAGATTTCCCTTCTCTTACATACATAAAAATATAAATATATATATATATATATAATTCATTCCACTGAATATTATATAGGAGGATTCAAACTTAAAACTGAAAAACTTCTATTGCCATTGGACCACTCAGTTTTTGGCTTATTGATCTACTTATTTTAATAATAGAGTTTAGAAAATCAGAACATTCATCATAATCATTCATTGAATGGATTCCAAGAATAGGATTCACTCACATATGGCTGTGATGGATGTCCTGAGTACTAGGATGTCTTGATTTTCATATTTCTATTTTAATAATATTGTAGTTTTAGAAAAAAAGTATTCCCAAATAACACTTACTGTAACAATTCCAACAATGTTAAGTGGGTTCTTACTTATAAGCTATGATTTAGTATAATTAAGACTTAATTCTCCATCAATATAGTATTAAATAACTGATCATTACTAGTAATAAATACTAGTTTGGGTGACGTGTAAAAGGGTAGGGATCCCATGATTGCCCTAATGTGATACCCATGAGAAGGTCATGAAAGTTCATGTGGTGACAATAATGAGTCATCGTCAATGATGGTAAAAATAATAAGAATAAGAGAGTATTAGGTAGCCTTTTTCACATATGATCGAGCACTTCCATAAGTCACGCATTCACATGCCCCCTTTCACCGTTCAAACCGCGAAAAAGGATCTCTCCATCAATGATGTTTTTCCTGCTCCCGTCATTTTCTTCCAAACAAAAGCCACCAAATTAAAGGATAAAGTGCTCCGAGTATTTTCTTTTCTTTTCTTTTCTTTTCCTTCTTCCTTTTTTTTTTTTTTTCTCTAAATTGATGGCAGGATTATGGAGCACTGGACATCATAAGACATGTACAGGATATAATCTAATGATCAGCTTTTTGTTATAATTTTTAAAATTTTTCATGGTTTCTGACATGATGATATTATATGTTAAAGTCATTCCCTACCATTTAATTAAGCATTAAAGTACAACTTTCGCCTTTATATACTTTTTTGGTTGTAATTTTTTTCTTTGTATATATATATAGGAATGAATTATCTGTTGATTTAAGTAAAAAAATTTAATTTTTTAAAATAAAATTTTAAA